ACGCTTCCTCGTTCTCTCATGCTTGCAGCAACAGCGGTAACTGGCAGCTATTCTGGCGGCTCACCGTACTGCCTGTGTTCATACATCATACATGCTCACGTACGCTTCTTCGTTCTCTCATGCTTGCAGCAACAGCGGTAACTGGCAGCTATTCGGCCAGCCGACCGTACTGTCGGTGCCGCGTGCGACCTGCACGTACGACGACCTCTACAACCTCGTACTCGAGAAGATGAGGTAGGTGGCGCCACCGCTCCATCGCGCGGCCTGCGGGGGGAGGGGCCTCAGGACTTCCCCGCGTTGCTCTGGTTGGACGCTCCCTGGAAGATTCGTGTCGACTCGAAAACACTCGCGCGTCTCGCGTTTCGAATTTTTGCCGATTAATCAATTCGGGGCTCATTGTCATCAACAGAGTTAGTAGACAAGTAGACCTTGATCGTGAAGTTAAGTTGATAGTAGTCGTAAAGTTTTTTCTTGTAGATCGTGGGCACAAACGTGGTGAAGTTATGTAGTATCTAGTATGCAGTATATAGAGGTCCAGTTCACGCTTGTACCTAATAAAAAATTGACATTAAGGCTAATGTTGAGACTAATTTTGTCTGCTGCGATGGAACCCCATGTTTATAATTCAATTAATAATATAATTCAATTCATTAATCTGCTAAATTGGCTAGTGTGTTAACGGTCACGTTGTGTCGTCATTAGCACATGGATGCGGCGCGGTAACGAGGTAACATGTGTAACGAGCGTGAAGCCACGATTAATGGCTTCATCATTGTCGTCGTCGTGGTTACAGGAGGTATGTGCGTCGGCCGCAGGACGACGATGAGTGGTGCAGCAACTCTGAAGACGAGCCGAACGGAGGTAAGGATGGCGACACCCAAGCACCTACAGATCATGGTCAGGGTCAGGGTCAGGGTTAGGGTTACGTTTAGCTTTAGGGTTCGTGTTTGGTCCTCATCATCTGCCGGCAATGCAAATCAAATAAGACATAAAATACGCCGACCCTTTATTGCCGTGTGACCTTTGACCTTGCCGTGACCTCTGACCTCGCCTTGACCTCCCGCAGAGATCGAGATGAACAGCGAGGAGGAAGGCGACGTTGCCGACGGCAACGAGATCGGACGCGGGCGGGCGGCGGCGAAGGCCGATCGCATCGTTGCCAACGGCGACGCGGACAACAACAAGCAGCAGAAGCGCATGTTCGAGTTCCGCATCATCAACTCGAACGGAAGCTCCGAGATCGGCCGTTTCCGCGACGACGGCAAGCCAATCAAGTTCCCAAGTGAGTGCGCGTCGGGGCGACGGGATGCTTCGGGCGGGTGGTTTTGTTAGTCGGCCTGCGTCTCTCCCGTACGCGTATATATATATATATAATTAATATATTACATATTATTTTTTTACATCTTGCCTCATATATCGGGGTTAATTTAATCCTCCGGGTTACCGGTAAAATATACATATATTGCCTCTGTTAAATTATGTTTAGGAGGTCCTTGATTTCCGATGCGTCTTCTACGCACGGCTTGCCACGTTTCCGTCAGCGAATTGACGGGGGCGGTGGTTGGCGGGGACAGCACGTGCAATATAACCAATCCAGTGCTGTTCATCTGTTATCCTTACCTCGTTTATCGTCGTATACCGTTATTGTTGTTTAAAAGATTGTTGTTGTTGTATTACATATTGCTGTGTGTTGTTTACAAGATTTGTTGTTGTTGTTTACAGATAGTGA